GCTCTAACTCAGTACTCACTAAGCCTCGATCTCCTGGGAATGCTTGTCCGCTGGGAGGAGGTATCTTGTGTAATGACCAGGACTAGCCTACTGGTTTTATTCTTTGGGAATAATAATAAATAATAATAATAAAATTAGAAATATAAGATAAATTGGCCAGATAGAAGATTAAGTCCTCAATGAGTAGGATATTAGGAATCAATTTTTAAAATAATCAGTTCTGAATTAACAAAAATGGATTCTCAGGTCTACAAAATCAAGAACCAGGTCTAGGGTCCTGCAATGATTTCCATTCAAATAAGTTCAGGCAACAATTTACCTTGAAATAGCCTGCCAAGGTCTCTTGCCTTCTTAGTGACATCAAGAAAGGACCACTTTTACTAGGTGCCATTAAAAGGTTGTTGCATTGCATACCCCTTGTCTGGCCAACTATAGCTACGGGATGTAAGCAGAGTGTCGCCACAGCCCACCGGGCACTGCATACATCATTAGCCAGTTTTTAAAACGAATCAGGGAAGTACCTGCACAAAATTGGGATGGAGGAAAACCCAAGAAACTCTAAGGGATCAACGAACCCACAATCCCCTTCTCAAGAAAGCTACTCTTAGGAATTCTTTTTGCAAACAAAATCCCACGGCTCAGGATGAGGGTGTTGAGTGAAGGCAACACCGCAGGTAGACTTCACTGAGGAGAATCCATTGGCATGGGGCTTCTGGGCCAAAATGGCTGTCTGAGTTACACGTGAGTGGGGCCAGCTCCTCGGCACGAAGTTCTGTGTCCTATGGGACATCTGAGTACACAGCAACAGAGAGCACCTAGATAGTAACAAGGAGACCTACTTGGTCTTTGTCTCTCTGTCTGTCTGTGTCTCTGTGTATCTCTCTGCTCTCTCTTTTCTGTCTGTCTGTCTGTCTGTCTGTCTGTCTCTGTCTCTCTCTCCCCCTCCCCCCCCCCTCTCTCTCTCTCTCTCTCTCTCTCTCTCTCTCTGGCAGTCAAAAAGACAGTGGCTTGGTTGTTCCAGGGCAAGTGAGTAGTGAACCAGGTCTATATGACAGCACCGGACAGCCTCGCTTTCAAAGCTTACAGTGTATGACTATCCCTCCAGGAAGTATTTCAGTTTGTACTGAGTTAAATATTTTCCTCAAAAATGTTATTTCTGCAGCTTAAAACACAGTCTACTCCTGAAATTTCATATTTGAATTTGTCCTTTGTCCAACTCTGATTCACTAAGTATGTCTTAGTGCTTATTTGAGAGCCCCCTTTCTGCATAAGTGCTTTTTCTTCACCTCTTTTGTTATCCACTGGAAACTGTGCAAAAAGTACTGAAGAGCAGGATCCCTTCCTGCACCTGGAATGGTATTTTTCCTTCAATTTGATGTCTCTCTTGGTAGCAATTTGCTTCGTAATACTGAATGCAGTCGTATTTGTTGCTTACATGCCCGAGCTAGGTTTACTCAGGAGGCACTGAAGCCAGAGCTCCTCTCTAGCTCTGTAGGGCCGACCTTCGGCGCCACCAGCCTCCTCAAGGGCACCGTGAGTCTTCGTGAAACTTAATTTTCTAAAACACTTGAAATGTAGACAAGTTTAAAGCTGAAATATTAAATGACTTTTCCATACTTTCTTATTTTAAAATCCTAAAGTATTTGCTCTCAAGTGCATTAAATAAAATCTTACAATATGCCTTTGAAATCAAAATTACCAATTACTGAGTGCTTATTTCGTGCAAGTTTGGTGCTAGCATTTTTTTTTTTTTTAACATCTCTCACTTGATCTGTTTAGCAGTTTAATTTTTTTTTTTTTTTAATTTGGCACAGGGTCTTGCTACACAGCTCAGACTCATAGTGATCCTCTTGTCTCAGCCTTCCCACGGGGATTACAGGTGTGTGCAACCAAGCACGGTTTTGGTGGCTGGCTCAGCACAGGTGTGGCACAGCATATGGTACTGGGATTGAACTTGGGTCCCTGAGCTTTCCAGGCAGGGGCTTAGACCACTGAGCTATCTGCTCGGCCCCTTATCCAGCAGTTTTTCGAGGTAGATGGTTTTGCTACATATTGATTTTAAGTTAAAAGAAGAAAAAACTGGGTCTAATATGCTTTATTTTGCAGCGGGCAACATCTAGATATTGGATCTAAGGAGGCTTGCCTCGGAGCACTGACTGCGGCTCCGTGTCTGTGGTCAGCTCCTTTCTTTTCAGTCATCTCCCAGGGGCTCAACTTCCTCCACTACTAAATCACAGATCATTATTAATGATTATCATTAATCATTATAATTATTCCTATTTGAGATGGAACCCAGCGCCACCGGGACATGCTCCCTACTTCCCATTTCGCGGTCACAGTTTCAGCCCAGTGTTCCTTAGACTCAGAATCTTAAAGTATTTCCTTTTTAAAGGCAAAGATTGGAGAGAGACACAGTAGGCTAAATCCTGAGAGTTTATGCTTTAATAAGCGAAGCTGATAGTCAGCCGAGGACGAGAACGGAATGTGGGTTGGAACCGTTTGAGGCGGTTCTGGGAGTCAGACGAGAAAATGCTCGACCCCGCCTTCACCTAAGTCCTTCGGTCCGGACTCTGCTGTGATAAAAGGCAAAGAACCAGGTTTAGCGTGTGTAACAGGGCGGCCCATCTGGCGGAAGTGTGGGTGAAGCGGTGCTGAAGGAAAAAACCGAAAAAGCTGCCTGTCTCGGGCCAGCCTGGAGCTATTCCACAGGCGGTGAGGAGGAGTCCCGGAGAGCCAGTTAGCGGGGGCAGAAGACAATAGACTTGTGCAGTGATAGGACAGGCGACTGGCTGGGGACGCGCTGTGCAGGGGCCACCTGGGAGGCCCGTTAATGATAATCCAAGGGGGGGGGGGCAGCAGGCGGAAGGGCGCCCTCCTCGCGGACGCGGCCACCCCGGGTCTGGGGCCTGCTTGCACGCCTCGGACCCCGGCAGATGGGAGCGCTGGTGAAGACCCAAGAATTTCTACTCTTTTCCCTATTCTCCTCTTCATCTAAAATGCCCGGCATCGACACGGGCTGTGCAATTGCTGAGTGCCTAGAAATACAAAATAGATGGAAAAGCCATCTTTGCCTGTGACAGCCACAGCCAAAGATAAGCCTGCAGAGCGGCGGGGCGACAGGTTGCGCGGGCACCGCCTTCCCGGAGGCCAGCGAAGGTCGCTGATGACCAGGCCCCGCGTTCTGTCTCCCTTCTGCTCCTGAGCCAGCCTCCCTTAACCATCTATTTCTCCTTTCTGGCGCTGGCCGAGAGCGTTTCCGTTGGCTCTGCCCTGCAGCGAGCTCCATCTCCAGGACTACAGAATCTTTCCAAGACCACCTTTAATATTGTTTTATTTCATCAAAAATCTTCCTCTCTTATTTGCAAATCCCATTCTTTGTAATGCACAGCAGCATGGGGGGGGTAGGCCTCCACGTCCGGATCCGGACACAGCCAGCGCCCGCCTCCTCCTCCTCCAGCATCTCTTCCTAGCCTGCCACCACCCTCGCTTCGCCTTCGCCACCGCATCCCGCCTCGTTCCCACGGCAACCGGCGCGGCGCCCACGGATAACAGGACCAGGGCCACGGCCCCGCCCCGCCCCCACGCCCCTCGCCCCAAGCTCTGCGCGGGGGGGGGGGAAGGCCCGGTTGCCAGGGAAACAAGAGGACGCCAGGCAGCCGTTCCCACCGCCTCTGCCTCTAGAAAGGCCAGCACCCGCCGCGGAGGAGGAAGAGGGCTGCTGGGAGAGGGGACGAGGGGTGAGGAGCCGGAGGGCGGCGGGTCGGATGGGCAGCCCCACCAGGTCCCGGGCCTGCCCTGCTGCGACCCGATCCGCCGGGTCAGAGGGCAGCGTGTGTGTGTGTGTGTGTGTGTGTGTGTGTGTGTGTGTGTGTGTGTGTGACTTTTCCTTGCCACTGGAAGGACCTGAGAGGCAGGTGCTCCTTCTCTCCGGCTGACCTCAGCCCCCCTTCCTTTTTCCAGCCGCAGACACTGGTTTGGGGCGTGCGGCCCGGCCGGCAGCCGCCTCAGGGCTGGGTACAGCAGTAACCTCCCTGCAGACCCCAGTGGCGTGCAGCCGCGCTGTCAGCAGTGACAGCGTCAGGTTGCTTGTCACACCTGTGGCATTTTCTCCCAGAGAGTCCCCGTTGCGCGTGGAGTCGTGACCTTTCCCCCTGACCTTGATAATCAGTGTGTGGGCACCCTCCTCTGTTATTTTCACAACATAATTCGGAGTCCAACAAGCCCATGGCCTGTGCCACGGCTCTCCCGACCCCAGCCCCCTCAATCTCCTAAGCCAAATCTGCTGCAAGGGGCAGAAGACCCCCGCCTCCTACAGCAGTTTCCTTCTCTGCAGTCACAGGACTCAGGGAGTATCAGGAAAACTGGGCCCAAATCAAGACCTTTTTATAAACTAAGGTTTGAAAATTCTAAGGTCGTATTTTAAAAACTGAAACAAATCCTATAATCCTTGTCATTACAAATGAATTGTGGAAAAGATTGAAATCCTTTTTCCGAGCACTCAGTTGTGAAAAGGGGAGATTTAGAAATCTGATTGTCAGGTATTAAAACAGTCACTTAAACTTTGCTTCAAAAGCACGTTCAGTCTTAAAACGAGCTTAAGTTTACATTTTGCTTAACTGTCCAAACCAACAAAATATTACTAATGATATTTATATCAGGACATAGTCAGAAAGCAGAATAGTGGCTTATTCAAAAGACATTTCAAGTCAGCTTTTTGACAAATGAGGCCATAAAACAGGACAGTTTTGGGACCCACACTGCGCGTGAACGCGCACACACACACACACACACACACACACAGAGACTTTTCAAGAGAAATGAAAAGAATGTATTCTGCAATCAAATTCTCTTCTCCTTAGTCAGGAAACTTGGTTTGAATTCATTGGAAATTTACTCTAGAGAGAAATTCATATGTCACAAAGTTCTTAGAATATTCCTCATTGAAATTTCACAGATGTGTAGAATTTTGAGGCCAGGAACAAGCATTCGCTGTTGCTTTCAGCAGCGCAGACTCCCTCCTCCCTCTCCCCTCCCCCCACCGAATATGACTTCTTACTCTGACTCCTGAGGCACAAATTAGGCAGTGCTTTACCGCCGGAGCCGGAAAGCCAGTGTGCACAACTATGCGTGGGTTTTAAAATGAGAAGCAGCTCGAAGGTAAGTCGTGGAAGACAATACAGAGAGCTACTTTAGGAAGAAGGGCCTCTCCCACATTTTATTATCATTCTGTACCTGCCGAGGAAAAACTCTTGGCTTCAAATGGCCACCTGGTTGGCGAGGCCCGCAGAGATGGGCTGCACAGCTTAGGCGCTGTCTCTCGCGGATCTGGCTCCCCGCGATCATGTCTAGTTCCTGGTCAACCTGGTCATTTTTCAGACCTCCAGCGCAGTGTGACTTGGAGTACATTGGCCTGACCTGCGATAACCGGCTCTCTCTTTGGTCTCTCTCTAGCAGCCTGCTTACTCGCGTCTTACAAAGTCTTGACGCACTTGAGTAGAAAATTATATGTAGGAGCCCGATGCTTCCAAGCATTTATTTTACAGTGAAATACAATGCAATGGAGAGTTGGTGGGGAGGGAAGAGACCTTGTGCGCCTTTTGGAGCCCTTTATTTGCTAAGTGATTGTGAAGTCAGAAGCAACCTAGCTTGTCCTTCAAATAGTTATTCCCTAGCTCTTTGGGCAAAATTATTTCATGCCTCCTGACTTAGAAGCCTTCTTAAAATAAGACTGAATTAACACCATGGTAGATGGACTGGTTTTGCTGTGTTAACTTTTTGTTCCCAAACCGTATCATCCAAGTAGATTCTGGAATGTGCTCCTTTCGGGACCATTCACATGTTCTCATCGACCCTTATGTTCCCTGCCTGCGTAATATTCACACAGCCTTCTCTTTCCAGCAGTAGCAACAGGGTTCATCTTTCTGCTTTTAACACCATCATTCGCTAAAGGGTGGGACCCGAACTCCATCTTTTGAGGGTACACCTGTACTTGGAACGTTAAAGATGATCTTTGAAAACGTGTCCTGTAAGTGACTGTTATAATGCTGCGGGACAAGATCTAGGCTTGACTTGCAAGCTGTGCAGCTGCGTGCCACGGGGCTGTCGTTTCAGAGTTTGTCTCTCCAAGACCTTCTTTCTGTACTTGCAAGAGACGAGCTCCCAAGGGGCCACAAAAGTTGTCGCTGTTGCTCAGGA